TGTGTGGTGATATGTGAGAAGGTGTTTCCGCACCCGTCTACGTGCTATATGACATCCACGCTTGTTTTGTAGACGCATATGTTGCAGGATACGAACATTTCGATGGACATGTCGACATAGGTTGCGATGTTGGTGTGCGTGTAGTAGGTACATGGCTGTATCGCAGATCGGTCAGAGGTTGTGGGTGATAACACCGTAGACCCAACATATGAAATTAAGAACACATCAATGTTCACATCGAAGTGCAAGTTCTTCAGCTCCCGTTCGACACATCCCTGTCCCGCCTCCCAGAGACAGATGGATTACGGAGGAAATCCACTACGGAGGCAGGTCAATTGTATTCCAGCAGTGCAGAATGATCGAAGGCATTTGGAGTTCAGTGGCGAAGAGAAAACTTACGTATCGCAGTTGCGCGAGAGTATTACGGAGGTCGACCTGCACGGTGGTGCATTTTGCACGTTTGGTTGTGCGCATTTGGCGGTGATTGATAAGTAGGCCGATTGGCGAGACGAGCTTTCTTATTATAAGGTTTCTTCTTCAGTATTCGCCCCGTTGTTGCATACTATCACCAATGGGCAGGTTATGAGGTATGGAGACGCAGATCTGACGCAGTTGACTAGAAACGGTCACAAAGCAGGAGGCCATAGAAAAGATCAGTAAACATCAGGGGTACGATAGAATTGGTCGAACATGTGGAATATGTAATTTTCACCTTGAAATCTTCCGTCTTTGAACCGACCAGTTCGATCGCCCACCGTATTTGTTACATTGTGGCCAGTTCAATCCAATTGCGCTAGTTCCGTTCATTTCTCGATGTGGCGGCCCGCGGGGCCGCCACGGTGCGCTATCTTTCCAAGGGCGCGCAAGTTCGCCCTCCGGCCCGCCGAAGATCCCTTTGTTTGTCGTTCAGCTTTTGAACAACATCAGATCCTGTGGCGGGCTCGCTGTGGAATGTGTCAAAAGAACGGTGCTTGTGGCAGGCTTCTTCACATTTTATGGCGAGCCTCGCAAATTTCCGACGATCCTTCCGCCCCATCACTCGTAGCCGCAATTGCGGGGGCTATGGTCATCGTTCCTTCTTTTACGGTTCGATGGCCCCCTCTTAGATGTTTTTGGGGTCGCGGTTGTCCTTGACGCACGGCACGCGCAACACAATTCTTTGCAATCTTCCCAGGTCTTCTTAAATCCACTCCCCTTCAATCCCCCGTGCCCGCACTACTCCAGAATCTCCCGCCCTCTTTTCACTCCTCCGAAGTCTCCCCCATTTCACTCCAGTTCTCCCCGCTCCTCCCCACTCTTCCAGGCTCCAGGCTCCTCTGCATTCCTCCCCACTCCTCCGCCCTCTGGGATCCCTTGCCATCCTTCCCGCTCCTCCGCCTTCGTCCCTCCCACTCCAGTCCTCCAGACTCCTCAGCACTTCTCCGCACTCTTCCCCACTCCTCGGCACTCCTGCCCATTCCCGTCCCCCGCACTCCTCCCCCCCATCTTCCGCGCACCTCCAGGTTCCGCAGTCCGTCTCCACCATTCCCTCCCCTTCGCGCTCCACTTCGCCCTTTCCGATTCTTCACGCTCCTCTCAACTCCTGCCAGATGCTCCACATTCAGCTTGATTATACTCCGCCTTCCTTCAGAGTCCGACGATCTCATTCCTAACTCTTTGTGCTCTTCCGACCTCCCCCCCCTCCTCCCCCTCTTGATCGCATTCGGGGCTTCAAGGAAAACAGCGTCCGCTGACACCATAACCATCTGAACAGGAATTTCATTCGCGGCGTTCGGACGAGAAGTGTCCACACCCACGGCGCAAAAAAGCGCGACGGCACGGTACATCGAATCGATACCGACAACCCCTGTCTTTCAACCCAAAATTTTACCAATTTTACCGGAGGCGCGGGCGCGAGGCAACGCCAGAGGGACAAAAGGTGTGGACTTTTCAAGCTTGGGTCTGGACTATTCAAGCTTGGGGGGGATCGGGGAGGAGGCGAAAGAGGAGGAGGAGTGCGAGGCACATGCTTTTTGCGCTTGTGGTTGTTATCGCGTCGGGCTGTCTTCACATCATAGGTGTGGGCACGTTCTGGCTGGACACCGTTCTAGCGAGATTCCGCCTCCTCTTGGCAGCCATGGGGGTGCGAAGATCACCGAGCTTCTCGCGTCGGGGCTCTGGCCAGAGAGCTGCCCTCTCCAGCGGGGGCCGTATGAGGCTGCGAAGGTAAACCGCGTCGCGTAGAGCGGATCTCGGTGCAGCTGCTCCCGGGCCGCGGGAAGGCCCGATCCTCTCGGTGGCGAAGACGGCGGACCAGGCCAAGGTCCTCATGGGCTTCATCGACGCCATATCCGAGAAGGCGCCCCCTGGCGGCGGGGCTGCGTGGCTCCCCTTGGTTTTTCCTGGTTCCTCCGTTTCCTCCCTCCTCCTCCTGGTTCCTGCACCCCTTCCTCCTCCTCCCCCCCCTCCTCCGCCTCCTCCTCCTTCTCCTCCTCCGCCTCCTCCTCCTCCTCCTCCTCCTCTCTTTTCACTGTTGTTATTCAGCCAGGGTGCCCGTCGTGTTTTCAAGCGAAGCCCGGATCGATGCTTGATTAGTTTTGCATGTCGCCGTCTTTGGTTTGTCGATCGGGGCCTTGCAGGGTGTTGGAAGATTCCAGCCTATTTCCACAGTTACCTCTTGCCGTCCCGATGCAGCAGGAAGAACACGAAATGTGGGTTCGAGCGACAGTGCAGCCTCGCTTGTTTGACCATGTTCCTCCTCCTGATTGTGTTCGTTTCACTCCAGCTTCTGAACGGAAGATGGCACGACGGATAATAGAGGAGGCCCAGGAACCCGAAGCAGCTGGCCGTTGCCTGGGATGCGGTCCTCGTTCGGTTGATAGGCGTGATGACCGTTAATGGCAGTCGTCGCAGTCAGTATCAATGGTGCGATGGACCACCTGCCTGGGAATGGAAGCGAGTCCAGCCCCCCAAAAAGTAAGGTGCCTCGGCGATCGGAGGCCTACAAGGTGCTGGGCCGCTGGGCCAGGCACACGAAGTCAATGAAGCTTCACATGCGCATGTGCGCTGAAGACTGACAGCGGAGCAGCAGGATGTGCCAGGACGGCTTCCCAAACGCATGTTGCCATTGGCCGGCCTGTGAATTGATAGTGCCACCGAACGGACGCGTGTTTTGTCTACGTTCGGCGTGGACCCTGCGGACCCTGGGCCGCGTGCTGACCTTGACGTGGTACAGGCTGACTCTCAGTTGTTTGCCGAGCTTGCTTGGGATCGGCAGACTTTATTCCAACGGGTTTCGAGAGTCAAGTAGGTCCCAAACTAGTTTAACCACGACGGCCGTGTCTCCTTGAAAGATTTGCATGGAGCCTTCTGTCAGGACACCCTCGTGGACGACGCACAGAGAGTCTTGGATAAGGTTGACACGGTTGTGGAGGCCATCGTGCATTTCAATATTAGTCATGGCGGAAGGAATGGGCGCAGTTTCTTTTTGTTGAGGGGCATTGCAAGCACATCAGTTTGCTAAGGCTCGTCAGCATGAGGAGGTACACAGCATATCACCATCAGAACAGCATGCTGTTGTCGCATGGACACATGGTCCACCAAGTGGGCAGACCACCATTCTACGCCTTTCTGGCCGCCCAGCGATTTTCAAACTTGGGACGAGGTACTTGGACCTACGGTCTGTGATCTTCGTTCGGTGTTGCACAGATTTCCCCATCGCATTGCGTTGGACCATTTGAATTCACCCACGGGCGCCCGATGTTGTATCGGACTAATGGTTTCACTACCTCGTGTGTTTGCTGCGTGTGTGCGAAAATCTATGCGCGCGGCCCGACGGACGCATTCGAACGCGCTTGGTTTGGTCGTCAGGGATCTGGAGGACGTCACGTGGTAGACCCCATTCACACGATAGTTCGGAGATGGAGCAGGCTGACGCAACCGATCTCGGGATGCTGGGAGCGCCAACCCCAACGAGATTTTCTCGGGTGCCATTGCTGGAGCCGCATCGGTGGGCGCGGCGTAGTTCTTCAACTTGCAGCCGAGGTTCCAGTCAGCGTGCTCCGAACTATGTGCAAGTGTTTCGAGATGATTACGTTGGAACGTTGTGTCGATAATGCGCGGGTGCATTTCCTCATGAGGTTGCTTTGACTCTGCTAGCCGATTGCCAGCGCCCGCGGGTTGTCAGGGTGCAGGGTTCTCTGTCACATGCTTGTGCGACACATCAATGTTTTATAGCGTAATGCTCGCATGCGAGCACCACAATCCATTTGTCTCTGCACCAAGTCTGGATCAACATGAAGAGGCTGTACAGACAGGAGGTACCAAGATCGTTCAGTGACGATGCTTCATTTCAATGGTTTTGCCCAGTTTCGAGTGGCTCCTGGTTTATTTTGCAGGTGATTGATGTTGGTCTGGTGGCCCATGCGTCGGAGAGCGGACGTGTCGCCGCTCAGCTTTGGGCCAAGAGGGCAACCTCCGCTCTCACCAGGGGGGGCTGCGCACCAAGATTTTAAACCGCACGCGTCACGCGCAACCTATAGGCCACGAGCTGCCTGGGGGACGCGTCAGGGCGATCCCAGAACGCAAGCGTCCAGTTGGGCAGATGGCCAAGTGCACCAGGCTCCGAGCCCCAGTCCGAGGCCTCGGGCTAAGGAGAAGGTGAGAACGCCCTGGGGGGACAGGGCTTCTACCATCGCTGCACGTGGCGCTGGCGTCAGTGCAGATTCTGACACAGCGCTTGCCCGACTGAGGACGGTAACAGGTCTTCGGGCGCGCGGCCCCACGCGTCGCTAACAGCCTGGCCAAGTCCCAAGCTGACGACAGAGCCCGTGTACGAATCGATGGCGTCATTGGTGGTCGGATACGCTTGCACTGAACTGGGACAGGTCAGTTTCACGGGCCGAATTGCAGAGATGTGCCATGAGCACGGTGGACAGGCTCCGTGGGGCACTTTCCTGGGGCAAGTGCCTGGGGCATGACGGCCACATGCTTCTCGTTGACGCGCATCTGCTGAGAGATGAGTTCAGCACGCGTCGCGATGGCTGCTCAGGTGCGCGTTGCGCATGGGAAGTCTCAACACACGTCGCCGCGTCCGACGAGGACTTCCCAGATTTTCGCGGGCAAGTGGTTGATGGAGCTTGGCCCGCGAGCGCGAGGCTGGATCCCGCTCGTCTCATGTTTGTGATGTTGCATCAAGGGTGTCATTGGCACTCTTGGCCTCCTGTACAAGGATTGTCCCACGTTAGTTGAGCCTCCAGAGGGTCTCGAACTGGAGCCCTTACCTGGAGATGTCCCAAAGCACAGGAAGGTTTTCAGGGACTTGGGGTGTGTTGGCCTGTCGCCTCATTGGGACACGCTTGAGATGGCCATCGGCTGACCGTTTTATCCCCTGAGGATCCCACCCCAGCCCAACTGCCCCGTGATCCAGTGGGGTGCACTGGCCAGGGTCTGGGGACGGCGCGTCTGCACCGACGGTCCCTAGCTGGCGAACGTCAGCCCCGAGCTTGGACGTGGTAGATGGGCCGTCCTGGCTGCCTGGGCGTCAGTCGGTGCCCCGCTTGGAACGTTTCGCGGGATGGCAGGCGGTCAAGGCTGCTCCCCTTGGCTCTGAGATTTGCAGTGGCCACCTGTCGTTTGTGAAGGAAGGTCGGTCGGGGAACTCAGACCTCTTGAGCTCACGATGCTTACACGCTGACATTTGGAAGGAACTATTCGCGCTTCAGTCCGATGGCCTGGACAGGCCCAAGTCCACGTGTATTCTCGCCCACCGTGAGCTCGAGGATTTCCTTCGGTCGTTTCGAGATCAATATTGCATCAGTGCCGAGGTCGATTCGGCGACCCTGATGCTGCTGCATCGTTGATCTCGTATGCGCGCGTTTAATCGCGTGGTTGGTATGCGTATGCCCGCCTGATTTGTGTTTTTTGCATCCCTCCTCTTCCTCCTCCCCCCTTCTGCCGCACAAGTATGATTTGCATGATCATTATGTCCATTGCTATATGATGCTCTGGCGCTTCAGAAGTGGATTCATATGGTCGGGAACTCGCCCAACGGAGCGTTCGGTCATCATCATCGTCACCATCATCATTATCATCATCGTCATCATCATCGTCATCCTCGTCATCATCAGCATCACCATCACCATCATCATCATCATCACCATCATCATCATCATCATCATGATCATCATCATCATCATCATCGTCATCGTCATCGTCATCGTCATCGTCATCGTCATCGTCATCGTCATCAGCAGCAGCAGCAGCATATCAGCATTGCCATCGTGATCGCCATCGCCGCCATTACCAACAACATCGTCACCCCTTTTCTCCTCAGCTTGCCAGGGAGCGTAGCATCGAAACCCTTCTGTGATGACCGCCATTGGGCCCTTTTGTTCTCCTGCCTTAGGAAAAACAGGAGGAAGGGCGGGTGGAGAAGAAAGACGACGGTGAGGAGGAGGAGGACTTAGAAGAAGGAGGAGGAGAAGGAAAAGCAGGAGGAATCGTCGGAGACAAATAAGGCTCGCGCACTTTTGCAGGGTCATCGTTCTCTGTGCCGGCTCTGGGCTGCAATCGCTGCCGGCGGCGAGAAGGCCACGCGTGGGGCCCAACCATCATCTTCCTTGCCCTCCTCCTCTTGCCCTCCTCCTCCTCCCGAAGCCCTTTGGGCTCCAGCCCCCCCCCCCCGCACACATGCGGACGCCCGGGGCCCCGCCTCCGAACGGCGGCGGGCGCCCTGGGCGGCCAGGGGCCCCAGCGAGCGGGGCAGCGCCGGCGGGCGCCGCGGGCCCATGACGCGGCGGCGCGGGCAGGCGACGGCCGCTCCGTACCGGCCGGTGGAGCCCGAGGCCCGCGGCGGGCGGCTTTCCCGGGCGCGCGCCGCGGCAGCCGGCGCCGCCCTCCTCGCGCTCGCCTCCGCGGCGGTGCTGCTGTGGCGGCGCCCGCCGCGCCGGCCCCCGCTGCGGCGCCACGGCCAGGGGCCGGGCGTCGCCGGCGCGGTGCTGCTGGAGTCGGCCGCGCCGCGGGACGCCGACGGGTCGGTCGCGCCGGAGCTCGCCGGGATCGGCTGGCGCCGCCGCGGAGGGCGGCGGTGCTCCCCGTCGCGCGGGGGCGACAGGCTGCCTTTCGGCGAGGGCGGCGCGCTCACAGTGGAGGAGTGCCGGAGGGCGTGCGTGGCCACCGCGTTGTGCCAGGGCGTCACGGTGCGACGAGGCCGCAGGCGTGGCCCGTGCCGCCTGTGGACGAGGCTCGTGCCCCACGAGTGCGCGGAGGACGACCTGTGGGACCTCTGGACTGCCGCGGCCCTGCTGGACGGCGCGGGCCTGCGCCACCTGGAGGACGACGCGGACCGCAATCTGGAGC